GGGCCCTTTTCCACTCTCCACAGCCGGAAATAAATGGATTGCTGTTGCCACGGACTACGCGACGCGGTACGCAATCACACGAGCACTCCCGACCAGCTGCGCTATCGACGTTGCGGACTTTCTGCTGTACGACATAATATTAGTGCACGGTGCTCCTCGTCAACTTCTCACCGACCGTGGCCGCACGTTCTTATCAGCTGTCGTTCATGAAATCCTGAGGTCTTGCCATACCAAGCACAAATTTACTACTTCGTACCATCCCCAGTCAAATGGCCTCACGGAGCGCCTTAACAGGACCCTAACCGATATGCTTGCCAAATAAGTTGCGCCAGACCACCATGATTGGGACATTCATTTGCCGTATGTGACGGTCGCCTACAATTCATCTCGTCACAACACTGCCGGATATTCGCCCTTTTATCTACTATATGGCCGGGACTCAACTTTACCTTTAGACACGTTACTACCTGCGGCCACTCAATATGCTGGGGAAGCCATTGCCCGCGCCGACCACGTGCGCCAAGTCGCCCGTAACCGTCTACAGGCTCCGAAGGCGCGCCAACAACAGCTCTACAATTCTCACTATAGGGACGTGCACTTTTCTCCGGGTTCTCTGGTGCTACTCTGGTCACCTGATTGATTGATTGATTTGTGGTGATTAACGTCCCAAAACCACTATATGATTATGAGAGACGCTCCTCTGGTCACCTACTCGGCGTGTGGGACTGTCTGGAAAACTGTTGTCGCTCTACACTGGACCATTTCGCATCGTTCGCCAAGTGACAGACGTCACGTCCGAAATTGTTCCAACCGATCCAACAAAGTCATCGTCAACTCCGAGCGACACCGTTCACGTGGCTCGGCTAAAGCCCTATTATCCCCCTTCGACATCATCTGCGTAAATTTAGCACCGGGACGGTGCTTCTACCGCCAGCGGTTATGATACAAAACAGCCGCTAAACACGGCTGCATGAAAGAGGAGGACGAAGTCAGTTTTCGTTGGATGCTGGTCTGGCGCCATCTTGCTCGTCGAGTTCTGTGCGCTGTAAATAGATCATTAAACAAGTTACTCGTAACAATATCTTTATTAAATAATTTTTTTGCGTACTGCAAGCACTTTTGTCTTCTATCTATCTATCTATCTATCTATCTATCTATCTATCTATCTATCTATCTATCTATCTATCTATCTATCTATCTATCTATCTATCTATCTATCTATTCTTAGCCTGGGTGCTCTCGTTATTACCCTTTAACTTGGTGTGAACAAAAATTAGTGTGGGCGAGTAAGATGGTTTGACGAGTATGACGCATGGTCAAGATATGAAAAATGTAACAATCCAGTCGCGTACAATATCAAGCACTTGCCGCCAAACGGTGACACATACCCGCGGCCGGGTATGTGCCACTGGTATACGGGTATGTGCCACAGATGACTGACAATTAGTATTGTCACATCCTTACGTTTTGTTATCGCCCCGTTACACTTTAGATATAATGTTATGCGCAAGCCGCGCCTGCAGCGTTCAAGAAGCATCGGCACTGTCGGACATCATTTTGTTAAGTTTACGAGCGCAACGCGAACATTACAGATTATTCTGGAACTTTTGTCGTCGCCAGCGAAAACACCGGAATATTCGACGGCACATGTGTAACTGCCGACGTGCTTCTCCGGTTGTCAGCTGATCGACGGCCGACGCACTGTACGCCGCTATCAGTGCCAGTGGGTATCGCTGTAATCTGACTTTTCGTGGACTGGCCACAAGTTCAGCCGAATAAATCATTTGATCTTTGACCTAGAGGCTGCTCCCTTCGTCGTCGTCCCGACGCCGTGACGGTAGCTACCGAGGAACGAGAAGAGCACACTTGGCCAATTTTAACGCGTGAGTGTTAAGAAAAACCTATCGGCAGCATTTACCATACGAATTGAAAAATAAATGTCAGGGTTCTAGCAGGAATCGAACCCAAGCATTCTGCGTGGCAATGAAGCATTCTACCCCAGAGCCACGCCATGTCTCAGTGCTACTTTCGTTAGACCATAATGTTCGTGAAACGTCGATTGTGGTTGCAGTGCTGGCTATTCGATTTTATAAACATTGCATATGTACTCCTACGGCACAACAGTCACGCTGAGTTAACATCAATTGTAGTTAGGTGTAATTCGCGGAAGTTGTTTTATGTAGCAGTGTCCATAGCTGGCCTCCTCGCGAGCCCAAGCGCTTCATATCAGCTTATCACTTCCGGTGTTTTTAATACTCATAATCCAGTTGGCATGCATCGTTGTGCAAGTGCAAACTGCTGGTTACATAAAGATCTATAACTGTTCAACATATGACTGTGCGTGAAACATTTATACGCATATTTAGTCATTTTATGACATATAGCTCAATAAAGAAATTACAACATTGTCACCTTCCCTCTGCATGCTTCGCATAACGTTGATTTCCAAGGCACATGGTATTTGCCAAATGTTTTATAATATGATAGGCCAGGACAATTTCAGATTACTCAAAGCCTATCTTAACTTGGCTCTCGAGAAAATTTTGAGAATATGTATTTTCTTATCTCGAAGTGACACATTGGTCAAGATCGCTTTTGTAGTATGCCCCTGAATCCGACATTGTGGCTCGAATTAAATTGTGACGTTATGTCGTTTGGTGAGCTGTTAGAAGATAACCAAGGGTGCCTCGAGTTTCTCTATACAAAGACGCATCTTTGTACTCTCCTATAGATTGCGGAAATCCTCGGTTACTTGTCAGCTCTTTATTGAGGTTAGATTCACACAGTCTCTTCAGACTCCTAGTGCAGTGACCTGCGACCATATAACACATTGAAATTGCATAGGTTCAAAGTGACTATTTTGAATAATGTCACGCAGAGCGGCAGCACCGGGACGCAGCGCAGCAGTAGTAGTAGCAGCAGGAGCGGTCGTAGAGTAGTAGTTGTAGTTGTAGTAGTAGTAGCTGATAGATTGATATGGGGAGTTTGACGTCCCAAAACCACCATATTATTATGAGAGACGCTGTAGTCGAGGACTCCGGAAATTTCGACCACCTGGGCTCTTATAAGTGCACCCAAATCTGAGCACACGGGCCGACAGCATTTTCTCCTCCATCGAATCGTGGTGATAGTAGTAGTAGTAGTAGTAGTAGTAGTAGTAGTAGTAGTAGAGATTATGTACAAATAAAACAGGGGCATCTATCCAAAGCTGAGTCTCTCCGGCAAGATGGAGCCCATATTATAAAGCTCAACTGGCACGGGCCATCAGTTCACCGCTTTAGATAAGTCATAGCTGATGTTATAGGACTGGGTTAGACATCGGTGCCTCCCATTCGGTTCATGTGCCGTTTGTGTCACCTTCTCCGTGCTCTGCGCGATACTGGCCTCAAATCCCATAAACGCGAAACTTTTCAAATTCACGGGTTGCCAAATGATATTGAGGTCTTCTGGTCTTCTGGTCTATCCAATACAAAACAAATACGAGGTGCATGTAAAACCTTCCAGATTCATTCTTTATTTTGTCGTGGAACCGTCTCGTTCGCTCGTTTGCTGAGAAGCGGTGCACGCCACAAACAGCCACCTAGTACCATGGACCTCGCATTAATAACATGGTGCACGTATTGTCAAAAGAGCGTAAGCGGCAGTTGAAGGCACGAGAAAAGGGCACGCATGTCTTATGAGGAAGGGCTGGTGTTACGCTCTTTTTCCCCCGGGCACAATAACTGCAACAAAAACTTCGTCCCTCTGGCGCGCAATGGCGCTACGTCTGGAGAGATAACACAGTGGCGTACGATTTCGGAGAAAAAGCTTGGGCTTCGAGATGCGGTGTACTGTTCCGCAGATAGGAGGCTGCTCGGGCATCTTCTCAGTTTCTCGCCATTAGCGCTTATTCAAAACAGCGCTGCGGTCAGCTAGCTTGCTGAAAGTTCAACGGTAAGTAAATACTGCATTGTATAACGACCGGGTGAGCATGCCCGGCGCTTTTAAGTGGCATGTTTTTGATCGCATAACTTAGGAAGTTTGTGCCTTTTGACTGGTAGTTTTTGAGAAGAGAGACTTCAATTCCGTAAAAGGCTAAGCCAGAGCTGAAGAGGAAGTGTCCAAGAATGCACGAGGTTATTGTACGTAAATTTTAGAGGAATCAAAATAGGTTGACTTCAGAACTGCAAAAACGTGACCGACTACTGAACGATGATGAATTGTGTCCTCTCTGCTGCGGCATTTTATGGTGAATGCCTGTTCTTTATTTACAAACCGTAGCAGAGCCAGAATTATTTCTTCAAAAATGACGCGCCGGCACTCTTGGTTCACTGGGTCTAACGCCCCAATGCTAATGAGGCTTCACTCTGTTAGAGACGCCGTATAGTGGAGGTCACTGAATAATTTCGACCTACTGGAGATTTTCTGAGCTTGCTTCCACTGATCAAGCTTCTCGCTTTCATAGAAATGCGGCCACCACGGTCCCGGTGTTTTTCCAGGTCAAGAGTCGAGCACTGCGCCACCGGATGGGCGTGTTAATATGATAAAGTTGTTATCGTTAAACCATTCCATGAATATTAGTGAAGCCGTGCATGAAAACGTGGTTAAAAACAAGGAGGTCACAACAGTTTCTTAAAAAAAAACCTTGCGAAGTTACAAAATATGAAATATATTCAGAGGTGTCCGTATCTTCAACATGGTATATTACCGTAAATTTGCGCTCAGATTGGTGAGATTACTAAGCGTGATCATGCGAATTGTGAAATCAAAATGCACCTTCAGGTAAATAAATTGTGTAAAAGTACGTATTTTTTGTTTGGGAACACTTGCTGGAGTGCCATCTTAGACATTATTGAGAGCTGGCGCTGTACACATCACAAAATGTGCACAACGGTAAAAAAAACCTCAAAAAAAAAGGTCGTCGAGTAATACTATCACTCGTTTACAACCGTTATGTGTGTTTTCCCGACAATAACACAATTTCTTGTTTGCATTACATACGATTTTCAGCAGGATTCGTTTCCCCCGTGCGGGATCTGTCAATAAAACGAAAACGATTACAATGGTGTGAGAGCTTCGATGGAACGGGTGACTATACTGCTCTTCATGCTCTCATTCACAACCACATATGCGTTTTCAGGTAAGAAAATGCTTCTCTACTTTGGCCTTCGTCGAAGAGTTGTCAGATTTTGAAGGTCTGATTCGAACATTCCGTTCATTGTATAGTAGCAATTAAGGGGCCCTGCAACACTTTTTGAGCATGGTCAGAAAACGCTGCCGATCGGTAGTAGAGGCTTCCGACAACACACGGGCCAAATAATATAGCACAGCACGCCGCCTGGAACTCCCAATATTATTATCAGAATCAGCTTAAAATTGCTTTCTCTTCTATCGACAAATCACGTTATATGCCAAAATTACACGTCAACGACCCATCTATCAGCCAGTGGCTGATTTTAACATGGCGCGCTCGCTCGTCAGAGATCGCCACGGAAGGCCGCTACTTGTCCACGCGTGCGCGCCCGATCACACTGAAAAAGCCACACATTGAAAGAAAAAAAGAAAAAAAGTCCTCAAGGTCGCGAAGCGCGCGTGAGTTTTTCTGTGGCCCTGCCATCTCGCCATGCGTAGCTTCCAGCGCTTTCGTCGGGACGAGAGAATAGATAATGAAATTGCAGCATGCGACTAACCTTTGTAACTCCACTCACACTGGACGGATTCTTAAAAATTTTTCGGCGTTGAATTTGTGAGGCAGTAAGATTTTTCATTGAATTAATTCCATGGTTACTTGAAGAAGTGTTTCAGGGCCCCAATAAAGACGTTAGCATTACATGAAAGACGTTAGCAATAGGTCACAATACGACTATAACGCTGTAACATGACATTCACATGAATGACATGCAGGGTTTGTGGTCATGTAATTCGTAGCGTAGACATGTTCTTTAAAAATGAGAGGATTTGCCAAGGACAGAAATCAACTGCATTCTTGAAGGTACTAATTTGGGTTTATTTCGGAGTTTTTGCACATTCTGTAAGAGGAAAGGTTTAGTGTAGTTTCGCTGAGCTTGCCAACACACACCGGAAATAATTTTAGTGTCGTGGTGTAAATAGTGCTAAATAAAACATTTAGCGGCAATGCAGACAAAGTTGCCGAGAATATACTTCTCACAGCGGCATTACAAGAACGCCTCTATTCTGTAGTTTGGTCATCATACAAGTAGCATTTACAAGTTTTATAACCATTTCATATTATTAATTCCAGTATTTAATGTTGAGAAAATTGCAAACAATGAGCTCCCCCTTATTACAACCTATACGTCTAAACATGTCGGCTGGTTTAATAGCACGTAAATACTTGAAAGACGTGAATGCAGTGAGCATTCCTTGGCGGTGTTGTCACTAACACTGCTGAAATGTTTACATTAGGATCTGTCTTCGCTTTTTTAGACTGGTGTAATGCGACCTACAACGAACGCCTGGAGCGAGCCATTGCTGGGGTACTGAATGGTATCCAAGAAGTACATGTCTCTGAAATGGAAGTAGGAAGGTCCAGGACCAGGATCTCTAGGCTTCGATGGTTACAGGGTTGTCGGTCTTGGTGGGTTGCGACGCCACGGAGATCTTCGCACACTGTGCGAAAACGAAACTCAGGTATGTCATGTGCACAATGTCTCCCCCTGCAGTTGTTACATTATTTCTTCGGCTGTCTATAAAAGCCATCTCAAATCTAGATATTGTGAATATGAAGTGTGACATAATGCTTTCAGCGAAGGTTACTTTGTTTATTTATTTACACATGCTGAGAGCCCTTACCAATTGCTAATACAGGAGCGAAAAAAAAACAAAAAACACTAAAGAATCATTACAAAATTTACATCTAAAATTGAAACTTACTCAAAAGAATCGATCCGAAGTACAACTCTCAAAACGCAACCACATTAAAATAAAACGAGTAGAGCAGATCGTATACAGACAAAAAACTTAGTGAACTACACATGGGAATATTAGCGATGTGTTTCATGCATAAATCCTACGAATGAGCATGAAACGGCTACATCAGTCAAGGAATTCCATTCGTTGATAGCTTTTGGAAAAAAACCTATACTTACAACAATCAGTGAAAATAGCAGGAGGACGAATTAACATTGAATGACAACCTTTAAAAAGAGTCAGCATAGGTGATGTGTACATGGTGAATAATAATCCAGGAAGAGGTATTTAAGCCTTTCGTATTTCTGTTCGAGCCTGAATTGTGGTAAAGTCTTGAAGTGCAGATAGTTGAGATGGTGAATCCATCCACCTATAATTATTTAATATAAATGGGACTGCAAAACGCCGCATTTTTTCAGTTTTTGATATTTTTGTAACAGAAAAAGGATCCCAGACGATTTGAGCGTATTTTCTGATTGGTGTAATAAGTGTTTTATAAACTAAACATTTCGTTTCTTGTGTTCCAAATAGCAAATAGCACCAAGACACCAGATAGAATTGTTGACCTTTGCACACACATAATCAATGTGCTGATTCCAGCGAATATCTCTAGTGATTATCAAGCCAAGGTACTTATGTTGCTCAACTATGCTAAGTTCATGATTATTAATAACATAAATAAATTCATGACATTGTTTTTAAAGAGACTGTCATAACTATTTTTCACCGGGTTCAGCACCATTTGCCATTGTGCCCACCACTTATTTATTTTGTGTAAATTTAATTGCAGTTTTGCCTGATCATTCACATTGTGTATTTTGGGTATATCATGCAATAATCTGCAGAAACGCCTGCTATAAACGTCGATTTCATTAGGGAGGTCATTTATAAATAACAGGAACAGAAGTGAGCCTAAAACACTACCCTGAGGCACTTCGCACCTAACAGGTGAAACTGCAGATTTAGTGCCACTAATTTCAACATATTGCTCACGAGAATGAAAATAGGATGAAAACCGGTTTCAATGGAAGGATTTTAGAAGGTAATAATAATTCTACTTAGTAATTTACAGTGAGACACTTTATCAAATGTCTTCGCGAAGTCCATGAAAATCACATCTGTCTGGGCACAAGAGTTAATAGTTCTCAAAATATCATGAACTGATTCGATAAGTTGAGATTTTGTAGATAAACCTTGTCAAAAACGATGTTGGCAGTTGGATAATCAATTATGTTCGTTTATATAACACAGTTGATGTTCCGAAACTATGTGTTGACCCAGCTTAGGACAAGTGCTATATAGTAATTGAAACAGGCTGATAGTTTGCTACATTATCAGTAAGGCCGCTTTTAGGAATTGGAATAACTTTAGCTTTTTTCCACTCCTTCGGTAACAAACCACAGAGAAGTGGAGACCTAAAAATTAATGCGATGTATTTTGAACTCCATTCAACGTATCCGTACAGAAACTCATTAGGGGTGCCATCGTGCCCAGTGCTTTTCTTTAAGTTCAATTTTAACGAAAGGTTAAAGACACCCAGTTTAGACATTTCGACGTCAGTCATAGGTGTTCTGTCTTGTGTTAAATAAACGATGGGCGGAATTCTGTTATCGTCTGTAAATACTGATGCCAAGTATTCATTAAAAACCTCAGCGGTAAGACCCCTCGAAGAGCGAGTCAATTGGTGAGCTTTCTTTGATGGATTAACGTACCTGCAAAACTTATCGAGGGCCTCCCTTATAAATTGTGGGGCTGTGATGCAGAAGAGCTTTTGTTTATATTCCTTTGCGAGTACTTTAAGTTCCTTACCAAGACGCTGAATGGTTGATTGAAATTGAACACTAGGATTCTTTTTTATAACTCTTACGTTTTAGGTTTTAAAGGAGAGCACAGACTGACGACGGGAACAAAGGAAGAAAACACCATAGCTGCACTCGCTTGCTAATAAAGTAAATGAAAAAAAACGACAGAAGATTCTAAACTATGTACCACGTTTCTTCCATTTAGCTTCAATAAACTTCAGCTAAAAGGGAGCGCCTGCTTCGCGTTCTTTCTTTTCTGTGTCTGTGAACAGTGCACGCTTCCTGGTGACGATAAATGCATACAAACTCACAAATTTTCTCTTTAGCAAAATCACTTCTATGTATAACAGATAGATATAAATTTTGTTTACGGTCCAAATTCTTCCTTGGTTTTCTTACGTGCAGGGGCACCTCAACAAATTGCTATCGTGAAGATAAGCGTGTTCGTCACTGCGACAATAATTTTCACTTTTGAACTCACGAAGGATGCATGCTCTCACTAAAGAAAGGTTTACCTTGAAGTCCCTTCTTGAGGTACTGTAACAACATACCTTTATGACAAACTGACTAACGGCGTCACTTTGCTTAGCTGAGCAATATTTGTAATCTTAGGAATTGTGTTTTTGATCTGTCTATATATTTCGTGCTTTACTATTGATGTTTAAATGGTCACGAAGAAATAATAAGTTCCTCACATTAGCCTGACACGGGTCAATCTGCGTCACTTAAAGCCGATGATTATTTCCAGGTTGAGCTCTAACTCATAAAGAGGCAGGAGGGGATCTTGTATTATAGGTTTTGCAAGGTTACTTGCAAAAACATTCCCCTTAAGATTGTACATACTTGTAAATAGGCCTGACGTTTACTCATGCTGCAATATACGGGCAAATAATAAGATAAAGTGCTTTTTTGTATGCAACGTTTTATGAAAATCGACCCTGCTTTAGGCGTTTTAACAGCCTGTGTTGCCGTTTTCATAGACATCTGAATTATAGCTCTTTTCTTCTTCACATCTAAAAATTCTTAAACAATCTTCGTTAAGAACCTAAAATAATTGTAGTCAGTGACTGACCGGAATAGGACAAGTATCTCTAGAGACACTGAGAAAACAGGTTATCATGGCTGCGTTCTCTTGTATACTTTCGTTTAACTGAAGTACTACCATGTTTGAACTGTGATGCACGCAATCTGTAAAACAAACGGCCTAGAAAAACTACGGAACCCACAAAAGTAATGTGGCAGAACTAATAGAAATAAATAGACCGGACTGTCGTCTAAACGAAAGAAAAGGGTTGAATAAACAGGTGAAAGAGACGTGGTCAAAGCGTTCGGCAATATCCGGTTCATCAAGCTATGAACAACTACTTGGCAATTTATATCAACGTAGTGTTACAAAGAACAGCCAAATTTGCAAGCATGTGGTAGCTAACCCATACACTAGAATTGAAGCCTCACTGTCATTTAAAACAAAGCGAACCTTCATTTCACGAGCTCAATCATTTTCCTTTGATTTTTTCTACCACGCCTATAGTTTTTGCATAGCAGAATTATGGTAATACAGGTTATGTTTCCGAAGTTAGCATGATAACATTTTGTGCATTTTTATACTTGCTTTTTATAATTGAGATGAATGAAATAACTATGTCAATGCTTAAGTGTTGCTACATTTAGTTAATAAAACAGGAGCCCATATGACTTTTTTTGATTAAAAGGGCAAATAGTCAGCGCGCAATGTTTGCCGTTTTAACGGTTACTGGGGCTACATGTATCTTTTTTAAGTGTATCGCACAGGAAGCAACGAAAAAAATCGACACCAGAGTGTTGTAGAAACACCACGGTCTCCATTGCAGGTGGTGAGCTTTGACTTAGTGGCAGAAGAACCCGTGGTCTGCTCGTTCTTGAAGACGGGTAGCGAAGACAGCCCTTTGGAAATCGCAGCACACAATCTCAGAGTAACCACGCATCTCCGGTTCATCGCTGGCCCTCCGGATGACAACGGTGTTGAAGCAGACCGAAGGGTTCTGGACCAGTACGATGGGCCTCTTGTTACGACATTACGTACTGGGCGTGTCTCAGTGAACGTCGACGATGCTTCTGGCAGCGCGGGCAATGCAACAGTGGGTCTACTGAGACATTTGGCTCTGGCTGCCATTCAAGACTCTTGGGAAGAACTATTTGTGTCACAGTTTGTCAAAGTCCTGAAGAACCGTTAGTCTGAACCTAAATCAAACAGAAATAACTGGAGATATATGGCACAGGAGTAAGTGGCACCAGCACTATACTTTATTGGTGCTCACATTTATAGCTGCCAGAATGTTTCATGTTTTGGTCTAACTTTAGGAAAGACAGTTGTGATCTTACAAATCTTATTTCGTAGTAATTATTTACACTTGGTGATGTATCAAGAAAGGAGCATGCAAGTGTAGTCGGTGTCTAAACAGAGAACATTTAGAGAATTTTAATAAGGCCTCAAGAATTTGAAAATATTTGTCTATCAGTCATTCGTAAGACTGAATGGTAGGCAAATTGTACATTTTCGACTTGATTGAAGCTGCTCCCAATTGCACTAGTGAATTTATTCACTCCAAGTACTCAGACATTATCAGCACATGAACACGTAAGGCCGATTCCGGTCAACTGAGTTTTATAATTGTTTTACTTCCAGTATTGTGCTTATTGAGAAATGTATTGACAGACACCTTAATCAATCATTATAGACGTTTACGCTGCGCTCATTTCTCACAGCACAGCAGGTCGCGCGCCCATGTGCCCGAAGTACTCAGTAATCTTCTTCGTTCATACCAGGAACTGGCAAAGATTCTAACGCCCTTACGGCAGACGTTCCGTCATAACGTGCCCAACATTGTTTGGATGTCATGCAGTTAATCAATATAAATGTAGCTATTGCGCGAAACAAGTAAGAAATCTAAATCCATCCTCTATGTATTGTGTCCCTTGCGAGACCCTCAAGGTAAATAAATTCAGCTTAATTGAACTGAAAAATAAAGGCGCATATAAAAAATTTCACATGACGCAAAGGAGCACTTAAATATTAGCCATGTACGCTCATCTAAGTCGATGAAAATACCTTTCGCTTTTTATTGCGAGGCCGCAAGCTGCGCTTATTTTCGTGACGACATTGGCACATAGCCCAGCTCACTCCTTTTGGCATGTATAAAACAAATTACTAATCAGAAGAAAGTTTCGGACTGAGAGATTCGTGTCTTTCATTCGGTTCCGTTGAAACGCACCTGTAGGCTAGGTCCTAATTTCTCGCTGTGTAGCTTACACATGCCGGACAAATGATATCTTCTATAAGGCAGGCTCAAGATCAATGTAGGATCTTGTTGGTTGCAGCTGTACCCTGACGTAAGGATTAGGTGCTTTAGCCGCCATGGGGATCTCAAGTGGATAAGGCACTCGGCTACGGACCCGCAGGTTGCGGAATCGAATCCCAGCCGCAGCGGATGCATTTTCGATGGAGGCGAAAATGCTTGAGGCTTGTGTGCTTAGATTTTGGTGCGCGTTAAGGAACCCCAGGTGGTCGAAATTTCCGAAGCCCTCCTCTAAGGCGTCTCTCATAATCATACGGTGCTTTCGCACGTTCAACCCCTATAATTTTTAATACATTATCAGGTGCTTTGCACCCGTCAGTCCTGCTAGGTCCTCTTTGAAAAATATACATTTTCATTGCAGTGTTTAAACTTAAATTTGTCTCCGTAGCACACTATCTATGAGCTACTAGGACGCAGAACATAGATTATCTATGCAGAAAAGCAGCTTTACAGCACAAATAGAATCCTAAATTTTGAGAAACCCAACTAAAGACAGCATTAACAAATATTGCAGTGAGGAGTTTTAAGTGCGAAAAACCCCTAATTTCTCCAGTGGTACGCACAAAGGATGACTCTAGAATAATATTGGCCACCTAGACTTCAGTAATGCGATCGTAAAGCTAAGAACGGGGCATCTATAGGGGGTCGCAGTGGACTGAGATGATACCATCATCCTCTGAGGTTGTGGCCTAACTTCTCAGCCACTAAGCTTCGACAGCGGGTGTGAACGCGCAAGTTATGTCTGTCAAAACAGGTATTACGCCAGACAAGTACAAAAATTCAAAGCAAAAACTCGCCCTCGCATAGCCGCATGACTAATACAGCGAGACAGACATCGGAGCTGTAATTCCTACTATATAATATTTGAATGCCAGTCGACCATCACGCCACCTGACGGAAATGGCCCTTCCACGTAACCGTGGGTATACGTGACAAAATGACCATTCACTGTTGCCTTTTTGTGCGAGCATGTTCCTTACACAGGATGCGCTTCTGTTCCACGCTGTGACACGGGGGACGCAACTGCACCCGTCGAGCCCGACAAGGACAAACGTCTACACACAGAGACGTCGTTGCTAATCAAGTGCTTTTTTTTTATTCACGAGAGCTTTGCTGCCCTCCAGCGATTTCACACACGTCGTGAAAACAAGTCGCTCATATAAAGGACAGCGGAAATTACCTCTGCGACTCCCTCTCTCTATGCCGCGCTGTAGCGGAGGAACCAAGGGAAGATGAACGTGCGCCAACACGTGAAGACGAGTGATGAAATGACCGCTAAAAAAATGAACAGCTCTAGAACATCCAAGTCGGGATCCTTAAACGACGGCCGTACGTAGTTTGGCCTTGGCAGCGCTGATTCTCTCGTGGTGATTCGTCAAGCCAAAAGTTTATATTTGGACGCTGACTGGCGACGACTTGTGGACGCGGAGGTAACAGCAGCCACGAGTGCCAGCAGCTTGGTTGCTGCGCGTTAAACTAGAGGAAGACCGAATCTTGCCTCCAGATTGCATAGGAGATTGCGTCGTGTGAACTTCTTGTGCAGTGGGATCATTCATTTCTGCATTTCTTCTATAAAAGGTAAGAAGATAGTGTAGTTCTCACGAATTTCTGTGTGACATGTTTTTTTTTACAATAAGCAGTGATACCTTGCTGAATATCTGGTCATTAAATGTAATTTTGACACTCTTGTAAGTGTACGAGTAAGTATGCTGGAAGTAAGTGTACGCTGGAAGAGAAACTACATGAATTATTTTGACCTAAACTTTCGCCTGTCAATCCGTTCACATAGCACATGCGTGTGAATGTATATCCTTGCAGTTTCTTTTTAATAGATGAAAGAGAGTGCAGCTCGCATTATGAAGTAACCAACATTAATGCTGCCAGCTACTACCCAGCAGAAAAAAAACTGAGCGTTCAAACTTTGGTTAGTTGCAACAATGCAAAAGAAACAAGAACTGCAGTGCAAACACAGTCTGTTTCCCTTATAATTTCGAACATTTAGGAGCTAAAGATTGGCCCTGCTTGTGTGGGACTAGCGGGGTGGCACAGTATCTCCGTTTAGCGCTCACTCTACCAGAATAAAGTAGATTGAATAACAATGGCAATGCTTGCCTAAAGAAACAGCTATGAAGTGCAGCGTACGAAAAGTATAATGTACGTAGGTTTATAAAATGAATTTGTAGGGGGGAGAATAGCTTTAGGTAAAATTCATTTTAAGAAGACTGAGAAATCCCAAACTCAGGTTGGTTACCCATAGCACGACACAATAACTGATACCTCTCATTACGACTGAAATCAAAGCTACGAGGTCCAAAACACAATAATATTGCGATAACAAGGCTGATAGGAGTTATCAAGAAGTACATTTATGAGCAATCATGTTACTAGCTGCCAGGTAGGCTGTGGGCATGTGTTTCAGCACTAGCAAGAATTTCATAGTTGTAATCAGGCTCGCGGCCAGAGGGGGTGGGTGGGTGATGGGTTTATTTTATTTCTTCCCCACCCAAATACGGACGTAGGGGTAGCCTCATCGAGGAAAATTATAGAAATCGGTGTTCTTTAATGCCTTTAACAGGTGCCCCTTTCCCCCAAAAGGTTTCTCGCCACGGGCCTGGTTGCAATATTATGCAATATATTACCGATAGCCCCCAAAGTATTTGGACTAAGAATTGGCTTTGTGTGATGATCCAAGATATGAGTTTTAACTTCGTATTTTGTTTTCAGGCATAGAAGATGGCCTTAAGATCAGTTGCAATATGGATACTGCTGACGTTAATGTGCAGCGGTGTGCCAGCTGCTGAAGGTAAGTTGCCTTACATAAATCTTTTTGATGATGCAATAAAGCTTTTTTTTCTTTTCTATCTCATTGCTGCTGCGCAAATTCTGGGACAGGCACTGCGTATTTTTTTATTGCACCGAATAAAATGGTTCCTCTTTCTAAATATATGCTGCTTTTCTGCCGGAAGAAGACAAGCTTTGATGACAAAACCACCAGCATCAGGCTTCCTAAATCATGCCTTTCCACGCACAATACATTGCCAACAAAATAGAAATGGTACACAACATCATAGAAATCTTTAGACGAGATATGCGAGCAGTGTATTCAACCTCATCGCTGTGTTTATTTTCACATTATTGTGTTGTCGACAGCACTAGACGGCACACATACGCACTCGAATCTGGGTAGTTTGTCCACTTACAATTTTGAGCCAACTTTCGCGTAACATGTCTGTCTAGGCTTTGCTGCCCGCTCATCCTCTATGGCCCTGAAATTGAAGCGGCGCTTGAAACACTTTAGGAAGCCTAGGAATGCCGCAACGTGTTTTGAAATGTGAAAATAGCAGCCGAAAGCCTGCCTGAGCTATCACTGTGGTTTGTCTACCACATTCTAGCGTCCGTCATCCTCGCAGTAAGCTTGAAGAATTCAGGATGCCGAAACGGCAGCTAAACTGTGATGTAATGGATCCTTAAAAGCCCTGACTACCTTATATTAAGTTCCAGGAGCTTGCAGAAGGCAGTGCTATGATTGACATTCTTTGAAACTTCCTATGCTGAATATGTATGTATTTAGGTACTAATATTTATATGTGAAAAGAACGTGAATCAAATTCAAAGAAAACTACAAGAGACATCTGTAAAATGTATGCTAAAAGAAGGAAATAGCCTGTAGAAACGTGAGCTCGTGGAGAGAACAGATGATCAGCTCACTACATATAACCCGTCAGTACATGTAATCTTCGCCATTTTGTTAGCCTCTTCCGCTTGGTTAAGATAAAGCACATGCACCAGCTTTGAACTTTAAAGTATTCACACCAAAGTGTTAGTCTTATATTGTTTGAGCATTATCAGAACCATGGGCCCCGACTCGTAGAAAACAAGCTTAATGTGTTTGTCATAGAAAATGCCTAAAATATGTCAGATAATACAAGCGCCTATTAGGTGCAAACGTTAGGCGCGAAAATTCAACGATGATAACTACTATCCCACATGCAAAATCTGAGCATCGCTCTGTGCTTTTTTTTACTTCACGACATATGGCTGGCGCGCACAGTCTGGCTTGACACTTTGCAGTTAAAGCGAAGTGGGAGCATGACTGCCTTTCGTATGGAGATCAGCCCGCCAAGCGCGTGGGCGTGGTTCAGAGCAGTTGCCATACGTAGACCTTTAGGACAATGTTCGCAACATTGGCGCCACCTCGTGATCTCGCTCACCACTCGGATTACCTTCTCACATATTCATCCCAGCTACGTGTCCTACCTTCACCTCTGTCCTCCGCATGTGTGCCCCTTGAGGTGTCTCCTTCGAGAGACTAATGATGATGATAATATTTTTTCTGATGACACTCACCCACAATGGTGAATGTGCCAAGCACCGGGAGGCATGAAGTTAGAAATAAATACCTATATGAAACTAATGAAGAAAACAATGTTAACCTTAAGCTAACAGACAACAGATAATTTAAAATTCTATGGAGCAGATAGTCAGACTATCAGACAGTATGTTTGAAGGATATTACAGCGGGTTGCAAGCAGTATTGTACACTGGCATGATAAATTTTCTTTTTCATGTAAGTAATCAAACACCGTAGAATGTATATTCTTGTGGCTATAACCTAGTAGCCACCAAATGCAACAATTAAGGTAACCTTTACTTCGTATCCTAGGTTTTCAAAAGCAGTGGCAAGGTATATTTTCTCTGATTCTAACATCCGAGATAGAGGAAAACAAGATATGTTCTATCGTCTCTATTTCATTGCAAAAAGGACATAATGATGATGCGCTGAGTCCAGTTTTTAGTAAGTCACAATCAGACTGCGCAATTATCCAGCGAAATCTGGTGAAAGTTACTTCAACAGTTATCATGCTGACCAATCGGCGTCTCTCATAATCATATGGTGGTTTTGGGACGTTAAACCCCACAAATCTAATCAATCATGCTAACCAATATACCTTATTCTTCCTCAACAGAATCTCAAAGCTTCATATTTTTCTTGGTTTATTACCCTGGCTACGACGGATGAGGCAAGCATGCGCTCAACGCAAAAAGTGCCTAAAGGCGGCGCTCCAGTATTCTCCTATGCTCCTCAAGGCAGCGACTGGGTAAAAACACCAAATAGTCAAAATATCAAGATTCCTCCACTGCGGCTTTTTTGAAATTAATGTGGGTGTTTCGGCCCGTCATACCGCAAAAATCATCTAAACAGAGAAGAGAGAATGTCCGTAGAATTCCAAGCAATCCCTCTGGAAGATGCAGTGCTGCTGTAACGTTATTCGCTGTAATCGTATGCTGAAGCTCAGCTGCGACATAATAAACTAAAAGACCATGCTGGAAGCGACGAATCAAAAATGTAATAGAAGGCCGTAGCATTAGCGCGAATTATATAATGAATGTCAGAGTCCAAAGCTACTTATTCATAACCTAAAGATTCTCTACGTGAATTATACCACAAAATCAAATAAATCAAAGTTCCTTCCTTATGACGTGTATTACGGTAACGTAAGTGTGGTTTTTCGGGCCAAAAATATTTAACCAAGGATTTGAAATTTAACCAAGCTTTTAAAAAAAACAGCAGTGAGAATTCTACACGTGACTGTGGTATTAAGCATTCAAAGATGTTCTGTTCATGCAGTACTAACACTGTTTATCGCTAACTATTGATGTGTGGCCACACCTTTAATGACCAAGCGGGGTGGTGCGTTAATAGTCGCCGCAGAGGACATCACTGCTCGCTCAAGTTTGAATCGTAAAGCCAGCTTTTGAATGCAATGTGGCAGCCGAACTGCGCTCCCGCCTTTAAGTCATCTACATTCCTGCGCTGACGCGCAGATCAGACGGCCTGGGAAACGGTGAAAGCTTACCACATAAAAGGCATCTCAATATATGCGTTGGTGAGCCATCCCTTTTCTTATTTACATAAAAGGATCGGTAACATTTCTGCGCCTGCATAGCTCGTGCCCCGCCATGGTGGTCTAGTGGCTAAGGTACTCGGCTGCTGACCCACAGGTCGCGGGATTGAATCCTGGCTGCGGCGGCTGCATTTTTGGTGCAGGGGTAAATGCTGTAGATCGTGTGCTCAGACTTGGGAGCACGTTAAACAACCCCAGGTGGTTAAAATTTCCGGAGCCCTCCACTACGGCGTCTCTCATAATAATAATGCGGCCTTGATACTTTAAACTCCACATATCTATCTACCTGCATAGCCCATTTTGTCACTTTTTTTGGAGAGGGGGTAAGTCAGATGCTGTTCTTGTTTTTAACAAATATTTTTCACTTTGTGATCAGCCCTCGTCCTCACAGCTTTTTTTATACTCTACAAGCTTTACAGTAATAATACGCACATTTGTCTAAACGTCACCAATAGACTACATTCTACGCTGTCATTTAATTATCGTTATACCCGGTAAGGCCACGAAGGCATATTCCGCCGAAATGACTTGCAATTATTGTCTTTAGGTTGAATCAGTTAGTGTTAGTAATATTATTAGGCGTTTCACGTCCCAAACGCCACGATGTGACTATAAGAGACGTTTTTGTGAAAGGCTATGGATATTTATATCATAAGGTTATCTTTTAAAATGTGGTGACCACAGCCGGGATTCGATCCCGTGACCTTGGAGGCAGCTGTAGAGCTCCCAAATCACTAGACTACCATGGCGGTTGAAAGAAGGGGCCAGTGTAGTTTGACCAAATAAAGCCGAGAAAAGACAGTTTCTTCAACAAACCCATCAACAATTTTGTTGATGCGTATGACTGTTTTTTTTCATAGTAAACACTCAATATAAAGTCCTGTTCCCATATTGAACAATAGAAAGGCCACCTTATGATCGTCTCGTTTCTCCATCGCAGATGAGTGCAAGTTCCACGATGAACACCTGGAGCGTGCCATCAACTCTTTCATAGAGAAGCTTCCCGCCGAGCGTTCAGAGACACCCGATAAAGATTCAGAGACACCGGAAGAAGTCGACATCATCGAATTTAAATTCTTCGGTCTCAACTCCTTCAGACCTTTCGGTCCGTTCCTGACCTTCTGCAGGGACGGCAGCAGGTTCGTCCAGTTTGACATGGTGAACAAGAGGCCCCTTATTCTCGCGGGAACGATCAAAGGCAACGATAGCAGCACAAACGAACTCCTAAGTCGGGCCCTGTTGGTTCGCTTCACAGCGCAGTTTGAAGTGGAAGGCACTGGAGAGGACGTGAAGATTCATCCCACAGTGAACATGCCGGTGTCCATGGTCGGTCTTTCTATGCTTCTCAAGACCGTCGACAAAGAAACAAAAGAAGACATTGGTATCATTTCTGCGCCTGCATAGCTCGTGCCCCGCCATGGTGGTCTAGTGGCTAAGGTACTCGGCTGCTGACCCACAGGTCGCAGGATTGAATCCTGGCTGTGGCGGCTGCATTTTTGATGCAGGCGGAAATGATGTAGGCCCGTGTGCTCAGATTTGGGAGCACGTTAAACAACCCCAGGTGGTTGACATTTCTGGAGCCCTCCACTACGGCTTCTCTCATAATAATAATGCGGCCTTGATACTTTAAACTCCACATATCTATCTACCTGCATAGCCCATTTTGTCACTTTTTTTGGAGAGGGGGTAAGTCAGATGCTGTTCTTGTTTTTAACAAAACTTTTGCACTTTGTGATCAGTCCTGGTCTTCACATCTTTTTTTCTACTCTGCAAGCTTTCTAGTACTAATACGCACATTTGCCTAAACGTCACCAATAAACTACATTCTACGCTGTCATTTATATATCGTTATACCCGGTAGGGGCCACTAAGGCATAGCCCGTGAAATGACTTGCAATTATTGTCTTTAAGTTGAATAGGTTAGTATTAGTAATATTATTAGGCGATTCACGTCCCAAATGCCACGATGTGATTATAAGAGACGTTTTTGTGGAGGGCTCCAGATATTTATATCATATAGTTATCATCTAAAATGCGGTGACCACAGCCGGAATATGATCCCGTGACCTTAGAGTCAGCAGTAGAGCTCCCAAATCACTAGACCATGATGGCGGGTGAAAGAAGGGGCCAGTGTAGTGTGACCAAGTAAGCCGAGGAAAGACAGTTTCATCAACAAACTCATCAACGATTTCGTTGATGTGTTTAAGTAGTTTTTTTTTCATAGTAAACTCTCAATATAATGTGCTGTTCACATACAGAACAATAGAAGTCACCTTACTGATCGTCTCGTTTCTCCGTTACAGATGAGTGTAAGTTCCACGATGAACACCTGGAGCGTGCCATCAACTCTTTCATAGAGAAGCTTCCCGCCGAGCGTTCAGAGACACCCGATAAAGATTCAGAGACACCGGAAGAAATCGACATCATCGAATTTAAATTCTTCGGTCTCAACTCCTTCAGACCTTTCGGTCCGTTTCTTACCTTCTGCAGGGACGGCAGCAGGTTCGTCCAGTTTGACATGGTGAACAAGAGGCCCCTTATTCTCGCGGGAACGATCAAAGGCAACGATAGCAGCACAAACGAACTCCTAAGTCGGGCCCTGTTGGTTCGCTTCACAGCGCAGTTTGAAGTGGAAGGCACTGGAGAGGACGTGAAGATTCATCCCACAGTGAACATGCCGGTGTCCATGGTCGGTCTTTCTATGCTTCTCAAGACCGTCGACAAAGAAACAAAAGAAGACATTGGTATCATTCTCCACTCACCGAAACCGCACTTCATTCGTGGCCTCTGGCATGGAATGCTCTTTAGTGAGCTGGACAAGCTTTTTGGAGAAATTTTGCCGAAAAAATAAATGTATTCCTGGTCTGGCACCGTAGAAAATTTATTGTGCATGCATGATTTTTTCCCAAAAACTCATCAATGATGCGATATACAGGAAATAGATAAAGTAATGTCCTTATCACATACGGATGATATATTTCGGAAAGTTCTAGCAAACAGAGCTTTGTTAGTAGACAGAACGAAAACCAATGAGAGGTAAACGTTCCTCTATTTTAGGAATTTTTATTCTACGTGGTTCTAACCTACCCCAAGCGGGATTAAGAGAAACGTCTACCCTCCCACAGCCTCGCTTTTTTCTTGAGTTTTTATTCATGAAATATTTCTTACCTTTTACTCACACAATTCATCACTGCGGCCTTTCCCCTTTCTGCCCCCTGCATCTAAAGTTGTCTTACCACGCTCCCTTGCTTAGATTGAAAGACAGGGTATGAAGCATGTACACAGTAGTGTAAAGCTATCAGTTATGGCCTCGGAGAAGACAAGTCCAGTCAGGTCAAAATCAAATCTCGGCTGTGGCAGCTGCATTTCCGATGGAGACGGGAATGTTGTAGGCCCATGTGCTCAGATTTGGGTGCACGTTAAAGAACCCCAGGTGGTCGAAATTTCCGGAGCCCTCCACTACGGCGCCACTCATAATCATATGGTGGTTTTGGGACGTTAAACCCCACAAATCAAAATATCGGTTAGAGCCCAGAACATTTGTTTACATTTTTTTTCGTGGCATACTTCCTTTTTCCATTCACTGCCATTTATTTGGGTGCCAGGTACTACCAGTAAGCCAGGTCTTCTAGCTTTAGTTTACTGACAATAGCTAGGCGTGATCGCGAAGCCAAAAAAGGTGTAGAAAAGCCCACGCACAGGATTGACATGTCGTCATGTTTATTTGTCAATCTTGTGGTCATGTTTTTTTTTCCTGTCATATCTGTATAGTACGGACTAGCCCTGCATCAAGTAAAGCATCACACGCTGAGGGAGGAGAAGTTAACAAGTGCAGACCTCTGTGCTAACTGCATCACTACTTTCGAGGCGAACATTGCTTGCCCGCGCCTTGCAATGTTGCAACAAATATATTGTTACACTCTAGTGGCAAGAAGGTAAGAAACACGGTGATACAATTGTAGGCAATGCTATATAGGACAGTAGAAAGCAGGAAGAAGAAGAACTCGTTTAGCGCGTTCTATAAACAAGACCGACCAGCGCCATGGGCATAAAGTGAACAAGAACAAGAACAAGACCGACCTACTTTTACTGTCTTGATCTCTGCGTCAAGGCCTCTGCTTTGACGTTGTGACTATATCAATGACAAGATCAAGAAAATATCCGGCACTACTCCGAACTGCGGCAAAGTTTAAAGGAACGGCCTGTCGTCATCTCAAGTCTGGCATGGACGATCACAGTTTCCACAAGCGATACTCATAAGCCCGGCAGGCTGAACATTTTAACACCAGAAATTGTTTCTCTGTTAACGCAAGGGCCTTCCTAGCCAGCACAGCTACAGGGAAGCGTCAGCTTCTTATGTTTGATGGGGATATACAAAAGGGAAACGCAGAGGTGAAACACCAGTGCCAGGGACGCACGAACCGTGCTCGGAGTACCCTATTGTAGAAAAAGAATAGAAAGGGGACCACAGAAGAGAAGAATAAATTATTTTGAAACAAGTCACATATTCACAAAAAAAAACAAATAAAGCGCTAAAGTATAAATTATTTATACTTTAGCGTAAGAGAGTAGAGCCGATAAACACAGGAAAGGAGCACAAGGTAACAGCAAATCGCAGATGAAGCTAAAATAAACGCAAAAAAAAACACGGACGTATTACTGCTCGGCGCTTCAGATTTTGTGCATATCTAACTTCAGTGCAACTGAATTAGATTTTTTCATTGAAACCGTGAACACTCCTGCATAGCATAAGTGGCAGATCAACATTCCCGGAATAGTCTCGGGCTATAGCTACGCCTTGTTTCTTTGTTACACAAATTATTGGATGACTATTTTTTCCCTTTTCGGTAACCGGGAAACGGTAGTGAAAGTGCCCAGAAACTATAGCTGATCCAACGCACCATGATATATTATGCAAAGAATGTCCACGAAGTTGTTCTCATTTGAAAAAAAAAAATCAGTTTTAGTAACACAGCACTAGCACCTCTCTTCCGTCACTGTATATTATGTCGCAGTAGAGCGTGGATTAGTGAAAGAAACATTGGCACCCATAATGGTTCTGACTTCATGTGCTGATATTTACTCTTGTATTACAGCACCACACCCAACTGAAGAGAGACAGGCTCCAGCAGTTCAAACACGGAAGGTGAGAAGTGAAAGGGTGAAAAAAAATTAAATAATGATATTCATAAAATGCCACGAGTGATTTCAAAAGGAAGCCTGTTTGTGGTCGTCGTCCCTCGGTGATGATTGTTCCTTCGCGAATCAACTTGCTGCTGTCCCAAGTCATCCTCATTTCCTATTACTCCCATAATGTTTTTGAAGGACTGAGCAAATGCAGCATGAAATAATGGAGTGGGTGCCAAAAACCAGATCACATCAAGTACAATGACAAATGAGGATAACCTCGCCCTTAGTACGCTTTTTTTTCTTACCCGCGGTCAAGTGTTTGATTCCTAAATGCCGAATATAATTTTTGTTATTACACTGCGTATTGCTAATAAATATAACCAGAGGACTTCAAAAAGATTCAAAACTGATGATTGATTCTTCTGTCACTGGAATAATTATAACAACTAAAGTGAAACGTGTCCTCACAGAAAATCTTTTTGTTTTTCGTACATTGACATGTGAGAACTTCTACTTCTACAATGCACATCGTTGTTGCGTAGCTATATATCACATTTAACTGCGGATGATACCACGTTGACGCCTGGTGACACATCTCTACCTCATCACGATTAAACCATTGAGCTAGCCGTAGTTGTTTACACTTGGCCTTATTATGTAGTAAATTTTCAGCAAAGATGGAGTTCACGTGAGTATAAAAGCACTGGCACTCAACATGCACTCTTGAAAACAGCGGTGAAATCATCGCGCACTTGACGAGGACGGACCGAGAAAACATGGAACACAGCAGCGTTTGCTCGGTCCGTCCTCGTCAAATTCGCACTGTTTACACCGTGGTATGGCCAACCAACTGCTCGAGCTGTATTATTTCTGCTAATGTTTGCAAATATTTGAATTCAGGAGGGGGACGGATAGGTTGGTGCTCCCAATAATGGGTACATACGCGTGCGCTAATGCATTGACTACTACAGACAACTTCGGAAACTAGATAGGCACAGTGCATAGACCGATCCATGCACATGTGAAGGCGTCGCGCTTTCCACTGCCGTCTCTCTCTGCATCACATCACACACCTGCTTGACAATACCTAGTGAACGTCGATGCCTCAAGGTGGCGCTATTAGAGAAATTTCATTAGTCGGTGCCGTCGCACACGAAGCAATACGTTGCAGACAGAGAAACAGCATTGGTGCGTACGGAAGCTGCAAAAGCCTAATGATTGCAAGAGCGTCCCTCTCGGCACTCGTTAGCGCACGATTCAGTATTTCACACTAGTGCTCCCAGATGGCGATGGGATCGGTAGGGTGAAATGGCGCACCCTGCCAATCGTAAGCACTGTGACGGGGAGGAAGTACGAGACATGAATTGTTCGTTTGGGAAGCAGTGTGCGTGCTGTTCAGTAGGGCAATGGGTACAGCGCCCGATACTTTCCGTAGCTAACCGAAAGGTCACCGGATCGCGTCCCATGTCGTCAAAATCAACAAAATTTCTACTTTTTACTGGTCTTATCGTGTTTATTTTACTGTGTCAATTACATAGCCTCATTTTCATTATTAAATGGCTTCAGTGAGATTTTCACGGGCCCTGGATGAAACGTTTTTGTGAGACTTGGTCTTTCCATGCTAAATGTACCGGCCATTTTGACAACCATCTCAAACGTTTTTGAAACAGAAAAGCATGCTTATTTAATGCATTGAAACAAGGAACTGCTAGAATATTTCAGAGAGAAAACTTATGTCCATGAAGTGTGTGTCTTCTGAGCTTCGCAGAATGTAGTCTTGGTGTGTAAAAAATATTTAAAAGGTACCGCTTCTTCTTGCTATACCAAATTTTTTCTACATGTTAAGTAAAGGTGCTTGGGTAAAAAATTTAAGCTCAGTAATAGTAGTACACTTTTTCTGTTACATACGCTTCCATGAAGATAGGCAAAATGTGTGATGTTTGAAGTTTTTCTATTGCAATACTGCCCTTTTTATAAATATATAGTGAGCCCTTACTTCACTAAGATATATCTTGAGGAAAAATGTTTTGAGACCTCTCAAGCTGTTAAACTTTACGAGAATGTAGTCAGTAATATACCGAAATCCTCTTTTTCGTCCTTATTGAGACACAATTAGCACCATGTGGTGGTCAAATTAAAACTTACGCTTATTTCTAAATCAAAACGAAATGAATAGTTTTTTCATATTGCGAGTTTTTTCAGTACAATTTTCGTTTTAAGTAAGAAAAAAGTTTTTGAAGTTTCCCACTGACGGCAACGGAGAATTTCCAGGCGGCAGCTGTCGTATGACAAAATGGGAAGATATAACACCAATGGCAAACTTAAAAAAACTGAAAATTGTAATGATAAAATGCACATGTAAAAAGTGTTTATTTGATTTCGACTTGGGTATAAAGGAGATTTTACTTTTCGTACAGGCCTTACAGCAAGCCCGAGATGCGGCGAAGAGACATGGTCTGCAGAGCTTCTCGGGAGTGTCCTAGGCTCAGTCCACAAATTTCCCAGCTCGCGACACAGTTGTTACCACTAGCGTAAATTTGCGCGATCTATCTACAGCTTTCATACATGACTAGATGACTCTACAACACCTAAAGTTACTTACATTCCCCGAGTAACACGAATGAAAGAGGGACGTATGGAGGAGTAGATTGCGCGATGCTAAATGAATGGCTATGATCGCTGCGTACGCAATTGAAAGGCGTAAATGTATAGTACCACCTCAACTTTCCTTGTTTACATG